GTCTGTTTCTATAATTTTATTTTATTATCGAGTAACAATCTACTTGCTGCTTCCATATATATTCTATACGCCCAAGTTCTTTGCATATGTAAATATGCGTGCGTCTTGTATTTTGTTGAGATTGAGCAATGTGTGAGAACACACGGTATGTGTGTGGGCATGGGCGAGGCATGATGAGGTGTGAAGCGACGCTCCGGGTGCAATTAGACCGAGCTGTTGCCTCACGATAGCTTGTCAACAGTCAAGGCAGTTTTTACATCAGTACACAGGTCTTAGCTCAACGAAACAAAACTTGCAAGTTTCTTTTATTATCCAACAACATCAATAACTATGCTGTGTATAACTATGACTTTGGGGGCTACTGCCCACCCTATAAGTGATTTTCAAATGTTTATAGAACCCTAAGATTCGTTACCATGTTTACAAAAGTCCGCGACGGTTCACAGCTTTCTTGAATGTGATTAGTCTAGTGCACATCATAATACCCTGTTTTCTTACAATCCAAATAAATATGATCCCATCGTCTGCGTCGAGGTCCTCCGACTTCTCTCTTTCTTTAGATTTTCTGATGAAAATTTTGTATTAAATTATGTGATGATTAATGTGTTGTAAAGGATGTGGCCTAGATTTGCGAACTATCCCAGAATTGTCTTGGCATTTGTCTGGAGTGAGTGAGGAAAACCGTTAAAACCTCAGTGAGAATAGATTGTGTCCGGGCCGAGATTTGAATAACGGACCTCCCGAAAACTAGGCGGGAGTACTGCTAACCACTCGGCAACTTCGTTTATTACAACAGCATTTTAAGAAGTCTGTTATCGTGATATTTGTTCCTAGGAACTTGCCTAATTTATCTTAAAGTTGTGTTCCTCCGTGCGAGACGAACATGAGTCAGCATAAACCAGTTCACTTCCGTTAACGTTGTAGCAAAAGATTAATTTCAGTAGTATCTTCCCATCTGTATCACGTCTGACCAAGGAGTGCCTACGGCGAACTTTGAAATCTCTGTCTTGCTGTCTGGGTTAACGTTTGTTTCACACGGCCTGCACAACATACTAAGTTTTTTCCTCGCCTAATCCTTTCCAGTCCCTCCCCTTTAGAGCCATCATGCAAATGTTTCACAAGCGCCGGACGAAATCTGCGATACTTTGTCTTTCAAGCGGGCTGTTTCCTAATGACTTCGACACCAACGATCTCTTAGTTTTTCGTCTTCGCCACGTGTCCGACCTGTCATGACGTTTATTTACCTCTACGATAGTAAATGAAGTAGGTATTCTTTCCTGTAATATCGTTCATAGCCGTCACAGTGGCCGTGCGGTCTGAGGCGTGGGCCTTGTGTCACTTGGTCACTGTGACCGTGGGTTCGAATCCCACTCAAGCCACGGATGTTTGTCCGCGTTTTTCTGTGTTGTGCTGTCCTGTGTACAGGTAGAGGCCTTGCGACGGGCCGATCCCTCGTCCAAGGAGTCCTACCAAAATGTCTAATACGTCAAAGCCAACGAAAGTTGGGACTCGCGGATGCTCAAGGCACTGAAGAACTGGTAGTCTAAGTAATATCGTTCATTCTCAAAACATTATCTCCATCTCTCGTTTTTGATAGTAATTTTAAATGTTGATAATATGAAAGTAAACTACATATCCCAGTAGCGGTTAGAACGCTGGCCTTGTAATCCTGGGGTCTCGGGTTCGATTCCAGGCGGTGCCCGAATTTATAACTTGTGTTGGGCGAGGCCGTGGTCTAGGCAACACGGAGATTTTCTCCGTGGCATCCCAACAATTACTCCATACACACAGAAGAAGGCAATGGCAAACCACTTCTGGATCATCTGCCAAGAACGTATATGAACAGGTCCCAGTCCGAGAAAAGGATGGAAGGATCCTGTTCATATGGACCTGTCGTCAGACAGAACACTAAATAAATATAATAATCTTTAGAAAATTACTTTCTCTTTAAGGCTTTGATCGGGATGTTCTTTTGTTAAATCTTATGTGGTACCGCCTGATTCGACTTCTAATGGTTAAGTGAAGTGTTTTCTTCGCGGTACGGTCTGGATTCGTAAATAATATTCAGATGATCTTCGGCTTCAAAGGGTTAATTTGCGCCCGCGACCAACTGTGTTTGTGTCGGTAAGTTGTAAAACGCATATAATAATTTTGAAGAAGATGACAGAGAAAGGAATGACGAATAATAATGTTAAATAAAAACGTAGGCCTAATCGTTGCTCGTTCCTTCAGTAATTCAAAGGTAAGAAAACCGGGGAGCATGTCTGTGGTGCGCCAAAACTCACTTAGCTTACGATCATAACACGAAGTTGCATCTACTCAACTGCACTGCAAAGTGGATAGGATGTTCGTTCCACAAGAGTGGACGGCCTGATGACAGGTTCACGCTCAGGGCGACCGGGAAACAATGGAATTGTACCAACGCGAGCACCGTGGCTAAACACAATTCGGTTGTCCGCGTAACCTCATTATATTTCAGTTGAACTTCCATTTTTGATGCAGGCCTCAAGGCCTGAAGGGACTATGAATAGTTACGTATTATAGAATTAATTGTAAGTCCTCGTATGCTTCAGTTAAATTTCCAATGTCGGTATAGAATGTACTCGTTGTAATAACCATGTATTTACTGTAGAATTTACTGCTTGTTGGAATCCAGTCCAATCTTCTTTGTTGATCTCTCACAGAATAAAAATTGCTCGAATTTAATTTATTTCTGTTTAACTTTCTTTCCCAGACATGTACATTTCTATACATGATAAAAAATAGGAGTTATAGGATTTGATACTTTCACAGCGAGTATAATCAATAAAATCTTCTCGGGCAATCAACCGCGTTAACTGGTTATCGTAGTAAACCGACGTTTCGGGAACTAACTATGTCCCCATCATCAGGGTTCTGATGTAACTGGATACCTCGGAAGTCGCCTCCGTCATCAGGGCGATGACTACACGGCACAATAACCCAGAAGACAGCAATCCTCGGACTCACAGCTGTGATCATTCTACTATATGAAGATATCCGTCTTCTGGGTTGTTGCGCTGTGTAGTCTGGTCGATGTTAACCAACGTTTCAGAGGTCATACTGCCTCCGTCATCAGGGCGATG